AATCTCCGCTGAAGGAGCCTTACCCACTGCCTTCCCATGTCTTACCACCAAAGTGAGAGGAAGAGGGGTCAATGTCCGAGGTTATGACCAGGTTGGTGCCACCAGTGGCAGTTCGCTCAGGAGAGTTAGCTATAAACATCATCATCGTACAGCGAAATACAGTGAAGCAAAATTCACTGATCGCTGCCAAGCTCGCAATGCATACAAGATTAGTGGTAAAAATTTAAGGTGGACAGGGATTAGACCTATTTTAAGAGAGAGGGAAGAAGGTGAACCTCTAAGGTCAACACACAGTACGCAATCGAACTCTGCATACATACCGCTTCAAGCATTCTGACCTGATAAGAAACGACAACAAGACGCCACTGCTGTCGGTTCGCTGCCATATCCTTCAATGTCTCCAACCAACCAGTTGTGGAGTCTTTCGGACCCCAACCTGGAAGGCGAGACACCTACTCTATTTGATGGCTTTGTGCATTTCTTCGTGCCTCGTCTCCACGTCATCTGTTGACCTCCATGTGGTTTTCTCCGGCCCGGATTAGCTACAGAGAATAAGGCGCGGTGCGGAAAACGATGGCTGGGCATACGCAATACGTGCCCTAGCCAGCGAAGTCTACTAATATGTACAGGTTTATCCCGGATAGACTGCCAAGCACACGACGGTTTACTTTCACGTTACTAACCCGGTCGCTCCATCCCACATGAGCTAAACTGCGTAAACACCGATAGTCCTAAACCTCTAGTCGACGGAAGGTGTTTCAGTCCTGCATATGCTGTTCGAGCGACCGGTTATCTCGTTTGCTGCGCTACCGTCGTTGGTCACGCAGCTACCTAAGTAGGAAAAGCAATCCACCGTAACTAATTCCTGGCCATTTAGTTTCAGAGCGGGAGTAGGCGAAACCCAGTCCTGCAGCATCACTTTGAAGGTGCAAAGCATATACCGAATGTTGCAACTGCGCTTGTTAGTCTATCTGATTAGCTACCAACCCTGATTCTAAACCAAAAAGCACACTTCACCAATCGCTGGTCGTGAGACTGTTAGCTAAAGTACGGGAAACCCGAGGAGTATGTTCTGATCCCAGAAGCACTACTATCAGACCTCAGATAGGGTCAAGTCGTACAATGATGTCCTGAATAAAGCGTTGATTAGCGTAACTCACTTTAAGATCGAGCTTTTTTTGAGATTTCTGGACAGTAGCACAATCAAGACGCTACCCCTCCATGGCCCGAAACATGTATGCGGACCGTAACACCCTTGATACTGACGTTACGTTAAAATGGTAATCTCATGTGTACTGCTCTGCTGTGCGATCAGTGTTACCTTAAGGTTAAAACCCCAAGCTTGTGTATAGAAGGCACCTTTCTTTAAGTAGTTTGGTACAGATTGCAGTGATCGGATTAGTAACGCTGAGGTAAGCCGTCATATATATTCTAGTGCACCTCGTTAGAAAATACGTTTTTATATCGAATTCAGGTTGATTGATTTCACTGGTTATTCGCTGCCTGTTGGGGAACTCAGGTGGACGTCTGCACATGACACAAAAACAATGCCTCGGCAAGCGCAAAAAGGTTAGTTAAAATAAATCTTCCAGGCTATTATCCTAGTTTCGGTAACTGGTTGATCGAAGATACTACAGGATATATATATATATATATATATATATACATATATATATATATATATATATATATATTCAGTTTTGAGCTTATGCTGTGTGCCACAATTCACGGTACAATGACCCTTGTCAAAAGAACCAGGGGCTATAATTTGCTCTTGGGCGCAATATCGCTAGGTAACTCAGGCCAAAGCAGATGCATTCTCTTAGGGAATTCACAATCGGAGTCTTGGGCTAACCAAAACCTGACTAGCATGGCAGCGGGGCGGTGTGGTGTGTGTCGCTGCAAGGTATCTGTACTTGTGCTGGATAATTTACATCCTGGAGGTTCTTAAAAGCCCTATACAACTCTCGTTACCTACCGGCTTGCGAAGGTGAGTGAAAAGACCAAACCAACGCATAACTGAAGCAAGGTTAGCGATTTATACTTTACGTACTAAAAGCACAAAAAGCTGTGTTTGACTGTTGTGAAACCTGGTCTCTGAGGAAATCATAACCAGCGATTTTGTTTTCGCAGCGTCTTGTGGGAGCATCGCGTGTGCAGCGATGAGACCAGATGACTTGTATTTGGGGTAAATACTCCTCTAACTGATATCACTTCCATCGCTCCTTTTGAGGTTGCTGGGGCACATCCTAAGAATGTCTAAACAACGTCTGCCTTGCCTTATTCAGGAAAACTCCTAGGTTTGTAGAGAATGTGAGATGAGTAGGCTACGACGCGGCACTGATGATTGTACAAACTGTCCGGGTCTGGCTGTCGTCATTGCATCTTCTCTTCCGGACTGGTTTGCCATAGGATCAGATCATCTTTAGCTGGAAAAACCATGGAACTTGGCTTTCTGTCGAATTCAGTGCCGTGAATGCTTTTCTACGTTTTGAGGCCTTATCGTAACAACAAAAAATCGGAATTATATGACGTATACTCATTTTTTTATCATTTGAAATCGTCTGTGCTTCGCTGTATTCTTGTTCCGTCCTTTTTTATAACCCGTAGTTATTTTTTGACACTGCGTCTGCAAGGATTCCTGTCTATGTTTCTTTCAATGTGCTCCCCATCCGTTATAATAACTTGTGTCACAATTTATATATCTAAATGCATAGACAATCGTATAAGTTTGATACGGAGAGGAATCGTTCTCAGTACCCGTTTTGATATGAAGTTACACCCGTAATTCCTGTTCGATAAGGTGCCATCTGTAGGGCAGAAGACTGGTGACAGTATTGTTAAATCAGGTCACTTGCCACTAAAAATTAAGGCATTATGTGATTTTCCTCCGCTTCACCGCTTGAAATTCCGAGTTTTTCATTACAGTTCAGTTTTTCACTTCCATATCTTTCAGAGCGCAAGGTGAATCAAACACGAGCAGATTCAAGACTAGAATTTGCTCCTCCGGATTACATACTACCTGGTTACTCCCATGATCTGCCGTTTACACCGCTTCATCCTTTGGATCACGATGGTAAACCAATTCGATGCGTCCGCCAACTAAACTACAGCAATTGGAACCCTCCACCACCACCACGTCGTCTCCTCGGCGATCTTATCTACCTGTTCTTTCATACACTCGAAGACAAACGGTACCACATAACGGCTTGTCCAAGGGGATTCTATGTAAATATGTAAGTAGTTACTGTTTGAAGCACGTCTGCGTTAGAGACTTAATTGATGCTTAATCAATATGTGTATATATCATAATGAGCAGTATATGATTGGCTAGACAAAATTTCCCGGTTTCGCGGTTCTTGCCGCTCGTCAGGCATGCGTATCCGGTAATCTTTCGTCAGTTCATCCAAATACCTGTATCCAGGAGGTGTATTTAGGAGTGGGTTTGGGTTTACCGCAGTTAATCCTGTGCTTTTGATTTGTTTTTCAATTCAAACGCCCACTCCCATCTCCATTTGACACGCTTCAATGGTGCACGGTGTGCAGTTTCTCGTCTAGGCGGATTGCATTTTGAGTGACGTGTACAACACCCGTCCCCATGTGCCCCGGTAGCTTAGTTGGTTAGAGCGCCGTACTTATAATGCGGAGGTCGAGAGTTCGAGCCTCTCTCGGGGCACGGCAGTTTTGCTCGCGACGCGTCAACCGATCATCGTCACCGCCCTGCCTCACCCCCACCCACCCCACGGGTGGTGAACTGTTCGCGCGCGTGTACGCCCCGTGCAGCTGGTGGTTACGACCGTGTTGATCAACCGGTCGACATGCGCAGAATGCGTAGTGGTGGATCCTTCGGAAATCGGGGAGTTTTTCGCACTTGCTTTTATATTACTGAAATCGAGCAAGTAGTGTGACTATATACGAGGATAATCCCGTGGTGGTTGCCCACCACTCTCCTCCGTCGTCATTTCCTAAGTACATGAACACTGTGTTAGAAATCATTGAATAGTAGATAACCAGTTCACACATTTTTGTCTATCTATACGTCTATAGCTATAGAGAAAATATTTTGAGACGACGAAATGTGCGGGTTTTCATTTACGTGTATTGCACCAACTCAGAGACCGAGTTCGCGTAGTGCTTGCAAGATCGAACATAGGGACACTATGGTTGGTCAGTTGAAGATCCAGAAATAGTCAAACAGGAAACGACATCAAAAAAAATAAGTTACTGTTGTGTGGTTGTCCAGAAAGCTAACCGTGTGCACACTTTTTTATGACAAATTGTGTGTTGAATAGTGCATAGGGTAAACTACATAATCACCAGGACCTACTTTCCACATTTGGTTTTTCGAGTATTCGTCACAGTGCTGGACTCAATCTTTCAGTCTTTGGAGTGCCCAGTACTAGGAAACTCAGACGGTCAAGTGTCTTGGTAATTCTAACTGTCAATGCATCCATCACACTTTGACTTCTAATGCCCTTTAGGGAGACAGTTCTCTGAACAACGAGCAGGATTCTGACCAGGTCGCGGGTGTGTCCACCATGTCTTTACGTCTTCGTCGATGGAAAACAAACTGGATCAACATTTGCAAGGATCTTGAAGCCAACCGCCAAGCATGGATAGCGGCCATCAGGGACATTCATGGAGCCGGCTTATCCTTTCCAAGGAGCCAGCCGTAGCACAGTAAAAGTAATTCCTGATCAACATCGGCGTAGAAGAAATACTGGAGAATTCCCTGAGTGGTCTTGAAAATGTTGCCGTTGAATGGCTAGCCGGAGGAAAGCTATGCTATTTGGAGTACGCTATCGGCATCTTTTGGCTGTTCGAATGTATAAAGAACACCCAAAGCATACGTGACAGACAAGTTCTATTACTCTTTTTCGTGCGCGCTTTGAGCCTTCAAAGTACTAATCGATGTTGGAAGACGGTGTCTCACTAGTTCTTTTCTGAAGCCAGATCATCAGGAATTGGTTGTGGTTGACTGCTCCTCATACTTGGGTAGATGCGTGACCAACGACGGTAGTGCAGTAAAAAAGATAACTTCACGCGCTTCCAGGACACGAGCAGCATGACATTCGGCAACGGTGTGGCGTTTCAACGAATTCTAAAATTCGCCACTACGAATAGTTCTGCTTTACAGTTTCGAGACCTTAAGTTTGCGGGTTTTCGACAACCGATGCTTACGTTGTCTGATCCAGTTTTGATGGAGTGAACTAGCGCAGATGTAAGTCTTCGGGTGTTTGGGAATGCATCAAGGAAGAATTCGCTATCTCATCGAATTCAATAGCCTTTGCCGGTTAGCATACGTTTTGCCTATCGCACCGCACCTCATAATGACCGCTCCGGACTGAAGAAAATTACACGGATACCAACAGATGACGTGTAGACGAGGCATGAGGAAATGCACCGAGCGATTAGGCAAACTAGGTGTTTCCTGTCTCCCAGGCTGGGATCCAGCAAACTCCGTAACTGGGTAGTTGGAGATGTTGAAGGTCGTGGCAGCGAATCGACAGTGGCGTTCTTCAGC